AGTGGAATTTCACTGAACACGCACAGCTAGTAGCAGCAAAAGCAGGCAGGGTAGTGCAGAGGCTAGCACGTATAATGCCAAACATCAGCGCAGCAAGGCCGACGAAGAGAAAACTCCTGAGCAACGTCGCTCACTCCATATTACTTTACGGGTCGCCAATCTGGGCAGATGACATGAGCGCGACAGGGTGGTCGGCCTTCCTCAAGGTGCAGAGGCGTATATGCCTGAGGGTTGCTTCCGCCTACTGCACAACATCAAAGGATGCGATCAGCGTGATCGCGGGCATTACACCCCTTAACCTCCAAGCGAGGGACAGAAAAAAGTTACACGAGCAGATAAGAAACCCAGGCTCCACTGCACTGGAAGAGGACTCACTGTCTACCTGGCAAAGGAGTTGTGACAGCAGCACAAAAGGCAGATGAACCCATACCCTGATCCCAGAGATCAGGCCGTGGGTAACGAGGAAGCACGGCGAAACAGACTACCACCTGACACAGGTGCTCAGTGGGCACGGGTGTTTTGCTGAGTACCTCAAAAGGTTTGGGAAGCTGGCCAGTTCGGAGTGCTGGTACTGCGGCGACCCAGTCGATGACGCTGCACACACAGCGTTCGTCTGCGACGCCTGGCACGGAAGAAGGAATCGCGCAGAAACGCTACTAGGGACGACGCTGAACCAAGGCAACCTGATAGAGACGATGCTGAAATCCAAAAACCACTGGGACACAGTCGCTGGAATGCTCGGCGAGATCATGAGTAAGAAAGAGGAAGAAGAAAGAAGAAGACAGGCCACGGATGCCGCAAGAAGAATCTGATAAAGTAGTTAAGACTCTTAAATTGTATGCCGAATGGCAAGAAATTTCAGGGTGGTTAGAGGCCCCCACTTTTGTCGTGTAAATAATTTAAATATTATGATAATGTAAATATTGTTGTTGTCATCAATAAACGATGGGGCATGGGGGTGAAATAACCGAAAGGTTGGTACCACCCCGTGCCTCGATACCACGTAAAAAAAAAAAAAATAAAAAGGATCTTATCACCTTGATCAGGTACTGCGGGACAGCGGATCTCCGTAGGGCCTCATCAATCAGAGTCCACGGCGCAGAGTTGAAGGTATTTTTTACATCCAATGCGATGAGGGCGCACAGGTTCCTGGTCTGCATCGGGCCGCTGTTGGCACTGCGAGCCGCGCTAAATACTTCTTCTATCGCGTCGATTGTTGACTTCGTTCGCCTGAAGCCGTATTGAGCGTCAATGATCGCTCCGGTCGCTTCAATATGAGATTCCAGCCTGTTGAACAAGACCCTCTCAAACACTTTGCCAGACTTTGAGCAGACTGATTGGACGGTAGCTCGATGGGAGGTCCAGTGGTTTGCCCTGGCCCTTTTGCAGCAGGATCAGCCTTGCCCGTTTCCACCTCTTCGGAAAGTCCCCGTTGGTGAGGCATGCGTTGTAGTAGTCCACAAACGCTTCAGGAAATTTACTGAAGGCCAGCCGTATGACTTCATTTGGCACAAGGTCGGGCCCGATGGAAGTCTTACAACAGCGCGACTCACTTCTTCTGTAGTTATCTGGGGTACTAGGGGTGATGCAACGGATGCTTCGACCAGGAACGCCGGTTTCAGTAAAACAAGTATGATGGTTTCCAATTCTGTTGTGGGGGGGGGGTGACGGGAATAGCCCGCAGGCTACGTTAGTTGTCAGCTCCCGATCCAAGAACGGGATGCGGCGACCCAGCCTCTTCGTCACCAATTTGTAAGGGACCCTCAGGGGTCGTTATCGACTGACAGGCAAATACTTCCAGCACTTCTGCTGGGCCGTCCTGATCGCACGCTTCAGTGCCACTCTCGCTGTGCTGTAGGTCTCTCGTTTCGCTTCCCGTGTCGTCCCTGGCGACCTTCGCCCGGCTAGCTGGTAATTTCTCCTCGCAGCAATAGCAGTCTTCCGCAAGTTTGTAATCTCGCTGTTCCACCAATATACCGGCCTCTTCCCCACCAAAACGGTCCTGCATGACATGGTTGCGTCGCAGATTGCCGTCAGGAGGTGGTTGAGACGGACGGCGTGGCAGTCGGAGGACGCAGCTGCAGACAGTCTGGGGGGCAGTGTTGGGAATAGATAACTAAAAAATCATCTAGATAAGATAAGATAATTTTAACAAAATATTATCTAGATAAAAATAAAGATAACATAAATGTAATTTATCTAGATAAAGATAAATACAACAATACATTTATCTAGATAAATATCTAATTGTTTTATTATTAAATACCACAACATTTTTAATAGTTAATAAAACAAAAAAAAAAAAATTATAATATTACAACTTTATAATATTCATAAAAACAAATATTTTATAACAAAAACAAATAACAATGTTTATTAACCTTTTATTAGAACTACATGACATTAGAACTTGTTTGAATTAAGATTCTGGCATCTACAACACAAAAGCATTTCAAATGTTTTATCATTTAAACGATTTCTTCTTGGTGTCATGATCTGCGAACCACTACTAAACAAACGCTCTACTGGTGCAGAAGAGGGAAGTGTTGTATTGTATTTGAAAAAAATTTTTTTTATGATTGGAAATGAATTAAGAACATTAAAATCTTTATTTTTTGAATTTAAATATTCTATAACTTGAGCATTAATACAACTATGATTGCTTTGAATATCAATTTCTACATCTAAACAATTCTCTGATAGGACTTGAAAAAACTCTTGGTCACTACTATCACTATCTACATTTTCCTCAGTATTTAAAACAGCATCTTTATCAGTATTAATTAAATAGCACTCATCAAAAAATATTTGTTTACAATATGATTTGTATCTATCGGGTACCCAGGATAGTTTGAACTTTGGATGGCTTATTGAAGATAAAATGAAAGATTTACTTTTGACTTTTTTTAAATCTAATACGTAATCGAATCTTTTTTCCAAACTGCTTACAATATTAAAACATAAAGGTCTACAGTGGACCAAGTTATTCATCTGTATTAATAAAAGTCTTAAAGCCAGTATAGTGGGGGCAACAAAACCTAAATGACAAGACTTTTCACCCTGCAATTTATCCAATGAAATTGCAAGTGGACCCATCACCTTACAATATTCTTCTAAGAAACTCCATTCATTTTTTTTTCATTTTTTTCATTTTTAACTCATTAAACACCAAGACTAAATTCTGTTTATTTGTAACTACTTTATTTACAGCATCATACATAGAATTCCATCTTGTCAAATTAGGAACTGGAAATTTACAACTACATAAATCAAAAACTTTATCTGAGACTACAGTACTACGACTAAGTAGATTCCAAAATGATGATAACTTTTTAAATGTAATTTTTGAAATTGAATTATAGGCTTGGTCAACTATTTTGGCAGTATCAACTGAAGCTATTAGATTTAACGTGTGTGCTGAACATGTTAAATGACTTGGTAGAGAAATTGTATTAGTAATTGTTTCTTTATGATTTAACAACAATGAAGACAAATCTACAACGTCCAATTCAAGATTAGAATCATTTACATCATCATCACTACTTATGTTAACATCGCTATCTGAGTCATCACTACTCATTAAGCCTAAATAATTTGAATCAGAAATATGTATATCATCAGGCACATTAAACTGTTTCGAAAATGTACGAAATGCTTTGCCAAAATTTGAGGCATTGTCAGTAACTACATGGGTAACCTTTTCATTTTCAATTTTAAAGTCAAGCATTATTTCATTGATTACTTTGGCAATATTTAAATAAGTATGATTTCCTTTTATACGCCTGCAAGCTAATATATAAGAATACCTACTGTAGTTAAGTTCATCGATAAAATGACAAGTCATTCCTAAATAGCTCTTATTGTTGGAACTCCAAATGTCAGCAGTAACACACACATAACTTTGTTTTTCAATAAATCCAGTTAACCCATTAAGTCCGGAATTTTTTTTTTTTTTAATTTGAAGTTGATTTTGATTAAAAGGTCACCTTACGTACTTATATAATAATTGTCTATAATTTTTTTTTTTTTTTTTTTACCCCGTTTTTAAGATAAGTTCCGTGACCATATGGTAACGCTAGAAGTATATACTACCTATTTTAAAATCATCATATTTTTTTTACAAATAAATATCGTTATAGTAGGTATACAATTTCAACAACCAATTATTATTGACGAAATCAATTGTATTATTTTAACAATGATTGCATAATTATAATTATAAATATTACATTAAAACTGAATAGTTGTAATCAAATTTATTTTTTATGGAAGTTCACGAAACAATCTATACATAGTCCAACGTCACATTTGACACACATTGTCCGTCCTACTGATTTACAGCCATCTTTTGCACACCTCCTTCTTTTCTTCTCTTGAGTATATGAAACTAAGTGGTCCATACGATCATATCTAATATCATCGGAAATACGACTGTCGGATGATGACAGAGATCTTGAAGGTCTCCCTGCACCTATTCGAGCTATACCATATCTTTGTAAATATGTTTGAACTAATTCACGGCGGAAATCCAATTGAGTAATTTGTTTAGAGTTAGCTTTTTTTGTACAAAGTCCAACTGTTGTTCATTGGAATTTCCAATAGCCAAGTAAAAATTGGCCACCACCATTTTTTACCTCTCACCCCAATTCTATAAGTGGCTATGTTTTGATCCATCTGATCAGTTCCGCCCATATACTGGTTATATTGCGCAACAAGATTGGGGCGACTTACATTTATATGTTTTTTATGTTTTTGTGAATATCTTTTTACACTAGATACTTTTTCGGTGCCGACATCAGTGGAAGCCATTGTAACAACTGCATTATCCATCCACCTAACCAACAAAATACCCTCATTTTTTTCTATTGCGGTTTCAAAACTTCCGCGTTCTTTTTTTGAAAATTTTTTTTTGTCGGTCAAAGGACAATTTTTTGGTATTCTATTCTGTCGGATAGTACCAATCGCTGAGTAACCCAGATATTTGAAATAATTAAAAACATTTATCCCAGTAAATAAGTTATCCATGTACAATGAGTAAGGTAATTTTTTTTTTTAGAATTGGGTAAGTCTTCAAGCATTAAAATAAGAGGTGATACTGCCTTTCCAAATATAGAATTATATTTTTCGTTTTCACGAGGATCTTTGCCTTGATACAATTCAAAATTTACAAGATAACCGTCATTCGTATTTACACACCACATTTTGTAACCAAATCGTATTGGTTTACCTCTAATAAATTGCTTACATCCATGCTTACCAAAGTACTTCACCATTGATTCGTCATAAGCAAGATGTTTTTGAGGTACAAAATTTTCTAAGCACTTATTTTTTATCATATTCATAAGAGGTATAATTTTCCAAGCCTTATCTTTAGCATCAATTTGTGTATTATCAGCACAATGAATAAAGCGACATATTTGCAAAAATCTATCACGGCGCATTGCATTACAGACAGCCTCATTTTTCATATCATCCATAGAGTCCCAAAACGACTTTTTTGAAGGTAATTTATTGTATCCACTAAGGTATAAAATACTAATAAAACATCGAATTTCGTCATGTGTTATATGTGGATCTGGACAATTTAAAAAAAGTGCATAACGCCTAGTTTCATCCACAAGATAATTAATTATGTCGTAATCCAAAAAAGTTTCAAAAATGTCTACAATAGATAAGTTTTTTGTAACTTGAAAAATCAGGCTCAGGAAAGTTCTTTTGAAGCTCTTCAAAATCTCCCCCTTTTATCCACGTAAAAGATTTCTTACCAGTTTTTATTTTTTTCATCCACTCATCTATACTTTTCGTGCTTACGTGTTTATATTGTTCACTCGATGTCACAGATTTACTGCTCAAAATGTTTTCTAGACCAATATTATCATCACCAATACCGCCGTACCTCTTATTATTGGCTAATTTAATTTCTGCTTTAGATCGTAATTGGCGTGCTGATAAGTTGTCTACTTCACCATTGTTTTCATCCCCGGAATCTTCATCAGTTTGTACACATGGTTCAGGTGGTTCGATATATATCTCGTCTGCATCTATGTCATTGTACAAAATGTCTAACGCCTCAGACAGCGAAAATCCAGTTCTGTTGAAAAAATTTAAATTATATGTAGTACTTGCGCCTAGCGTTACCATACGGTAACATCAAACTTTTAACTTTCATAACTTATTCAATATTGAATAATATCACACTTTATTAAGTTAATATTAATCCCTATAGTATACTGAATACGCATAAATAAAAATTATAGTTGATTCATATATTTAAAATATATATAATTTACTTACTCGAAATTGATATCCATGTTCTACGAAATAATTTTCAAACTAAATTGAATTTCTTGATAAATATTTAATGTCAACATATAATAAAGATATCTGTGTGTAAAATTAATCACCGGGTCATTATCAACGATATGAACGACGTTGGAACTGGATAATCCCATAAGTTTAAAAATAGCATGCATTCAAACATGACTATAATTGTGTTACCATACGGTTACGCTAGGCCTTAATGGGTTAAGATGGAATCCTGTTCAATGCAGACATTTATTATGGACCCAGCAGATTTCTATAATTTAACATATAGAGGAGTAAACTGTAAACCCTGATAAAACGGAACTTGTCTAACGTAAACGTAAACGGAAAGTTTTTAGTCCTTGCATCATATAGGTACATTTTAAAACGGAAACAGCATATCACAGTAATTAACAGGTCAATATTTTTGATACCTAAGATTATTTACATTAAACAATTTTAAGGTCAGTAATACATTACGTATCGATATAGATACACATATATGTATCTTATATATGGGTATCCATGTAGATAATTGTATATTATCATGAATCTATATTATCGCACTATTATTGTCACAACTGTATAATCGTAGTTTCCCATTTTGTTTCTTAATTTACTTGTTTCACAATGTCTTCAAATATTTATTAAGTTTAAATGAAAATGAAAATTAGAAGAAAGTTGTTTATTGTTGAAGAAAACTGGATAAAAACTTTAATCAATTTTGGAATTTTAATTTATTTTATCTGCTTAATTTTATTATATTATTATTTGATTACTCACCAAATATTATGGGTCTTAAATTTTTGGAATCAAATTTATCATAATTTTGAAATATCAATTAATACATATTATGGAATTATTTACTAAAAATTAAAATTTATTGTAGCTATGATATTTATTAATTATCAACATTTTAATTTTTATTATTGGTCGGAAATGTTATAACCTTAAATCTTAATTATGCAGAATATTGTAATTCTATAGTATGGAATTTTCCTTTTATTCAGTATTACATCAAAACCTGCTTAAAACGAAAATTTTTATTGATCCCGTGTAATTTCACAGGATAGGTTTTAATTGTATTTGTTACCTGAATGGTTAAAAAATATTCATATAGCCATATAATAGGTATCTATAATGCTCTGAAAGTTTTGTAGAAACATTGGCACATTGCAACGTTCTAATAATATTGTATCATATTCCGTATAATGGGTACTAATTACATTTATATAAATTTAATGATATATACCATGAATGATAATACGAAACAATATATATAAGTATATAAATATGATTACCAATTTAAAAAGGAGATAAATATCCCGTGTTACAGGCAATCGGAAGTTTAAATCCATTTGAAGTTTTTCTTGTTGATTATATTAATTTATTTTAATTAATAAAAATTTAAATTTGAAAAATAAATGACAGCTGAAAGGGTTTCCACGGAGTGCCAAACAGAAAAGTTTCACTTTTATATTATATTTTCTATAATTATTTTTACAAGTTTGGCAATACAGCAATACGTAACTGAACTTAAAGTACATCAAA